GGATCTCATATCCGACTCCCATCATCGACATCACCTTCAAATCCAGACACACGGTTGCCAAGCTGCCGACCCGGAGAGGAGAGGAGGGCTGTGCATGCTACCGACAGGCATTTGGGAGCAGTGGCGTCACATGGGGGTGCGACCCACACCTGGGTGACACCATTGGAGGGGTGGCACCCCCCTCTGATAAGTGAGGCACTGGGTCATGGACCGAGAGCCCGACAGTATCAGGAGAGAGGAGGGGACCCGGCGGCATACCTTATCCTGCCGGTTGAACGTCCCGTCCTCTCTCTGCCAGCGTCCATCACCAAGATGGCCGCCGGCAGGTATCACAAAGGGTGTCACTCAGTATGCGCTCTGGGTGACCCCCGTCCTCGGCATAACCGTGTTTTTCGGGAGCTCCCGATTTGCAATTTGGAAATTCGGATCCTGAATACTAGGGGTGCACCGCTACCGGAAGTCCCATTCAGGAAGCCAGGCGGCGTGTAATGACTCGCCACCCCCGGCTTTCCGATTAGCAGGGAAGCCGTCTCCATGCTCCCTCGTCACTAGGTGACAAGAAAGCATGGATCCGGTGTTCTGGCCAATCAGGAGACCAGGTGCTGTGTAATGACGCGGCGCCCGGCTTCCTGATTGGCCTGGAAGCCGACTCCATGCTCCTTTGTGATGAGGTGACGCGGGAGCATGAAGCCGCTTTCCCCGGGCCAATCAGAAAGCCGGGTGCCGCGTCATTACACGGCGCCCGGCTTCCTGATTGTCCAGCTTCCCGACCAATCAGGAAGCTGGGCAGCGTCATTACACGCTGCGCGGCTTCCTGATTGGCCGGGAAGCCGGCTCCATGCTCTCTTGTCACAAGTGACGAGGAATCATGGAGCCGGCTTCCTGGCCAATCACGAACCCGGGCAGCGTGTAATGACGCGCTGTCCGGCTTCCTGATACCGGAAGTACTCGTGCTAGGCATCGGAGCATTTTGGCGAGTACGGGTACTCACCCAAATACTCGGCATCGGCACCCATACCGTTACTAGTATCGGTGCATCCCTACTGAACGCCATACGGGTCTGGGAGCCTCAGCTTTAGTATTATATGTATAGACTGTATATGGCTCCCATGTTGCCGTAGCGATAATTTTAATTCAGACCCATTCAACCGAAAAACACATCTGATTGGCCAGAAAAGTCACATGTCCGATTCAGTTTAGTTTTTGAAGGAAATTCGGACGCATTGGGACTCGGAGATTGGGATGTGTCCAAATGTCTACATTTCTGAGAATTCGTACAAATTTTGATTGGGAAGGAAAGGAATCTCACATGTCTGGTGTCATGTATGTAGTAGATGAGTAGAGATGAGACATGCGGGAAAGGTTTTGGGATCCGGTCTGCGTGCGCGGCCCAGTGTAGTATGACAATGGTAGGAAGATACATCGCCGCGTCATTAGAAGGTAATTACAGTTGTCCCGGCACTGGCTTGTCGTGGGGCAATTAAAGGCAATTGGACGCGGTTTTCCGCCTAATCCCTGAGGACGGTTCCGTCAGGTGCTTCATATATGTCAGAGTTCTCCCCGGGTGAAAACGGCTGACGCAGGAGATCACTCGGAGAAGAGTGGCAGCAGAAAAACACCAAGTGGTCCAGCAAGTCCACTCTGTTTGTTGGGGGGAAGGTTAGACCAGAGGATGTCCAAATTCACTTCCTGCTGATGGACTCATTACCTCTGCTGGGGATCCCTCCAGTGATAATAAAGATCTATATAGAGGGATCAGGACCTCCTTCCTCCTGCTGGGGATCCCTCTAGTGATAATAAAGATCTATATAGAGGAATCAGGACCTCCTTCCTCCTGCTGGAGATCCCTCTAGTGATAATAAAGATCTATATAGAGGGATCAGGACCACACCGCAAGCGTGAAGATTTTATTTGCCAGGAGCTCTGCTTTAATGGAGTTCAAAGGTGACATCAGAGTTCTACTAGACCCCTGATGTTTCCTTAAAGAGAACCTGTCACCTGCACCATGCGATCATAATGACCAATCATTACCCGCATCGATGGGCATTCAGAAACGTGAATGAGCCCAATGCCATCCTGGAACCCCTAATATTTTAAGTCGACCATTAAAGGACATCGCTCAAATTCCAAACTTTCTTCGTTATTTGATGGCGAACGCGGTATAGGACTCTACAACTTGCATCCCCCCCAAACCGACACCCGCCATGCGACCCGTCGCCCAGGGCTACAAAGATGCCTCTCTTTGGCTGCACTTGGCATACACCGGCCCCCTGTGCGTGGTGAAATAAGCCCCCTCTCTGTGCTGTACACAGTGTGCCAGTGAGGCAGCTCCG